AGAATCACACAGATTCACTCAATTTGCTGTTCTCACACAGAATCACACAGATTCACTCAATTCATTATTTTCACACACAGAATCACACAGATTCACTCAATTTGCTGTTTTCACACACAGAATCACACAGATTCACTCAATTTGCTATTTTTCACTGGCACAAATAGCTCACAAATTGTCTGAACGTTCAGACTCAGCTCTCACTTAGGTGATGTGGAAATACAAGGGGCTAAGCTGGCTACAATGATTTATTCTCCTCGAGGAATTAACATTCCTAGGTTGTAATTGCCTGTATGACCTCCTGAATGCTACTGTGCCTTGGAAACAAACAAAAATACCACAAAGACTCAGAAATGAGTAGTCCTTATTCAGGCCAGAAGCCTCATTTCATTATGCATTAAATCTGTGAGCAACTCAGGGAACAAAACCAAACACAAGCTTTCAGGTGAAAGTCCAAGATGGAATCAGTGGCATGAGATGAAAAACAAGAGTCACAATATAAAGTTTTCAGTCCCTGGAGTTGCTCCTTTTTCTGTTAGAATGATTTGGATAACTACTGGTGGCTACTCTTGCAGGGAAGCATCGTGCAAACCCAAGCTGAAAACACAACAAATTCCCTACCTCTGTGTCATCTTCTTTCTTCCTTTTGTTGACAGAGCCTCCTCCTTCCTCATCCTCTTCCTCCTCCTCTTCTTCTTCAATAATACCTTCTACTATGGCTTTAGGACATTCAGGACTGGCAGCCCCTTCACACCTGTGAAAATAAAACCAGAAAGTGATTCCCTGACAAAACAATACAAAACAGAACAGGTTTTAACTTAAAAGTGGTCTGCAATTTCTCAGATACTGGTGTGGAATTATGACTGGAGGTGACTTAGAAATCTCTCCATACCTACATCTCAGGAGAAGGTAGAGCATGAAGGAAACTTTCCAGGTGGAGTGTGGTTGATATGTGAGAGATCTGTACCGTGGTAGTTCCCTGGGTACAACCTGTGACCTCAGAGTCACTGACTCTAAGAGAAACAGGCTGGAAGGTGGAGTGGAGACACCACAGCCAGGCTCTGTGCAGAGCAGAGGGGAACTTGATGGGGCTGTAGAACTGATAAGCCTCATGGTTGCTACCCTGAGCCAGCAGTTTCTCATTGTTTTGACAAAACTTGTGTCCTTGGTGGAACTATGCTCATTAGAATATCATTATAATGCTAAACTACACCTGCAGCCCAAAAGTTACCCACCTTCAAGCTGCCACCACCCCTCACTGAGCATGTGCTCTGAATTTCCTCTGGTCTAAGACCTTTAAAAGCAAAGTGAGGAAATTTTACACCAATTCAACTAAAGGTGTGTATGACTAGAGTCACTCAAGCTCCACCAGAAAGTAAGAAAATAGATTAAAAATAGCCTGAGAGAGGGAGGATGTGAGGGAAGATCCCATCATAGACAAGTTGGGAGGATCCCATCATGAGCCATCATCGATTCTGGGACCAGTCAATGGGCTGAGCCTCTTTCCACCCATAGGGACACCTATGGGGTGAGATTTGAACCTTCTCCAGGAAACTTAGAAACTTCAGGAAACTCAGAAAATTGCTAGAGAATTGTTTTTCTTTCTTTTAACATGTTTGTAGATTTATGTTCTTAAATATCTACACTTTGCTTTCTCTTGACTTAACACGTTTGTAGATTTATGTTCTTAAGTACCTACACTCATCTTTGCAGACAGTATATTTATCACTGGCAATACAAAGGAACCTGGACTTGGTTGCTTTAATAAACTGCACCTTTTATTAATTCAGCTGTAATAGTCCCTGTTGAACACGTGGCTGTGTGAGTTCATTTAAACATGACTGGACTGGAGGTCTAGTGCAAATATGGCCCAGTGCAAATATAAATGCAAACAGCTACTTAAAGGAGGCAGAAGTGGTCAAACAATCAACAACAGCTTTTCTTAATGGAGTATTAGACATTTGTAAAGACTCCAGGTATGTCAAGGATTAGAGAGGCTCAAGCAGGTCACTCTGATTCCCCCAAACCCACTTCAGATCGTTCCTGAAGTGCTACATTAATTATACAATTATAATGAAATTATACAACACTTTAATAATTAAACCATTTCTAAAAGGAAGTGAAAGATACCCAGAAGGTCAACCTGACTTAGGGCAAAATTTCTGAAGAGGTATCAGACTTAACACTTATTTCTTAATCTGTGTGGAAAGGCAGACAAAGCAAGGAATTCACAACCAGAAGTAGTTAAATTTTTTTAAAAAACAAGACTCTTGGTGGATTTTGCCTCAGGGAAATTTCAGCCAAGTCCTCTCTAAGTGCCATGACTATGATTCAGTGCTGCTGCCAGTATCAACTGTGATCAAATGATAAGAAATTTGTATTTGTTAGAAGAAATTTTCACTTTTGAATGCATTTCTGCTCTGTGATGCTATAAAATAGACAAGATTATTTTAAGAGCTTTAAAAAAGAAAAACAACAAACCACCTACTGTTTGACTTGACCGACCATAGAAACTCTGGCAGATTCAAGATTTCTTATTTGTCCACTTTTTACACTAGGAAAGAGAAAATTCAAAGGACAGAAATAGTTATTAAACACAATTAGTAAGTAGCAGGCTCAGAAACAGCAGCAAATGCCCTTTACAGCTCATGATTTGCCCAAAGCTCTTGTTCTCAGAGGGTGTTCAGAGCGGCTCACGCTACGTGCTGACTTACTTGAACCCCTTGTTATCACTGGAACTGTGAATTTAAGACACATGGGAGAAGTGAAACAGTGAAATAAGGTTATAACCCTTTCACTGCAGGGGACAGGTCAGAAACTACCTGGGTATTTGGTGACAGAACTGAGTTTTCTGTAGGTCAAGCTATAAAGTTAACCACGACGCCTCTCCCTTTCAAACTCAACTGCCAAATGTGTAATTCTTGCTGAATTGGAAAAAAAGTCCTGTTTTTTTACACATGGGATGGATGTCTTAAGCTTCTTAAGCAGCTGGAACAAGTCCAGAGGAGGCCACCAGGATGATACCAGGGCTGGAGCACCTCTCCTATGAAGACAGGCTGAGAGAGTTGGGGCTGTTCAGCCTGGAGAAGAGAAGGCTCCGGGGAGACCTTCTAGTGGCCTCCCAGTACCTGAAGGGGCTCCAGGAAAGCTGGGGAAGGACTTTTCCTAAGGGCAGTTAATGACAAAACAAGGGGCAATGGGTTTAAGCTGAAAGAGGGGAGGTTTAGATGAGATATTAGGAAGAAGTTCTTCACTGTGAGGGTGGTCAGACACTGGAACAGGTTGCCCAAGGAAGTTGTGGATGCCCCCTCCCTGGAAGTGTTTGTGGCCAGGTTGGATGAGGCTTTGAGCAACCTGGTCAAGTGGAAGGTGTCCCTGCTGCTGGCAGGGGGGTTGGAACTGGATGAGCTTTAAGGTCCCTTCCAACCCAAACCATTCCATGATTCTATGATTCTTCTTTAATAGTTGGGACACTTAGAAGGAAGGTGCAATTCATACCATGAAGCCTTCCATTATCTGAAGCTCTTAGAAGGATCCTTCTCCAATGCCTAGCCAACTCTCCCAGGATATAGACAGATAGAACAGGGGGCAATGGTTATAAATGTTCAGAGGGGAGATGGAGATGGGATGTGAAGAAGAAATTGTTTGGTGTGAGGGTGGTGAGCCAGTGTCCCAGGTTGGCCAGAGAAGCTGTGGCTGCTCCTCCCCGGAAGTGTTTGTGGCCAGGTTGGATGAGGCTTTGAGCAACTGGTCTAGTGGAAGGTGTCCCTGCTGCTGGCAGGGGGGTTGGAACTGGATGAGCTTTAAGGTCCCTTCCAACCCAAACCAGTCTGGGATTCTATGAAATTAATTATCTTCCAGACCTCTCTCTCCCTGTCAAATCAGCCAAGGAATTGGTGACAACAGTTGGGGAAGTGAACACAAAAGGAGAAAACAGACAAATTACATAAACTTTGTTTCTTTTGGGTGTCAAGCTACAAAGACAAAGTGATTTTGGAAACAACATAAACCCATCCATTACCTCCACTCAATGGCATTCTCAAGTGACTTGAATGTTTTGGGACGACTCCTTAAGAAGTTCTGCATGCTGTTCAACGCGTCCATGGCCGTACCTAAAACAAGTGTTTAACTTTATGGCATCTGATGAAATAATTGCCATGTCCCTCTATACAGAACTGGCTACCAGGGAACATCCTCAGAGAGAGGAGCTGGAGCTCCTTGGGGATTTAATACAGTTAAGGAAAGTATAACTTAGTTCTTCTAAGCCTACAGTCATACCTGTTCCCACATTGGAAAATTAATATTTGAACAAGGAGGATATTCAGGTAGTAAGAGAAGGCAGTGACCACTCATCACCACCATGCATTATATAAAAAGCCACCCTCCTCCCTATTAATAAGAAAGAATTGCAAAGAAATGATCAATAAAATAGCAGAGGGCCCGTTTGGGAACAGCACAAGGAGGGGGTCACACTAGAAAGGCTTTTGTGCAGGAGGATGGAATTAGGATTGGTTACAAAACTGGGCAAAACTTTCTGTATTCAGGGATTTGAGGATTAAAAAAGAAAGATTAACGTGGAAGAAAGAACCTCATTCAAGGGTCCATACACTTACCTTCCACAACATCGATCATGCACAGACCCAGTAAACTTGGCACCAAATTTGCGACCGCCGTGTGCACTGCGATGGCACCCCCCATGCTGTGCCCAATCAGCATGATGGGGGGAGGAAGGTCCCCATACAGAGCTTCGACCACGTTTCCAACATCTCTGTCAAATTGAGATAAAAGCATGGTCAGCATCTCTACCCAGGCCAAATGTCAGGTCCTGGGCTTGGGTCACAACAACCCCCGG